CGTGGGGTGAGCAGAGCGGTGTCGCCAGCGCCCCCTTCGCAGGCCCCGTGTGTCCCTCAGGCAGTGGGGCAGCCAGCCCGGGCGGGTTACCCCGCTCTGAGAGGCACGGCTCCAGGCTGCCGGGGTTTTTTGGTTTTGGTTTTTTGGTGCTTTGTTGTTTTGTTGTGTTTTTTTTTTTCCTGAGGGAAAATATTATTTACTTAGTATCACGTTCCCCCGTTAGCTGGGTTGACGTGAAAACAGAGTTCCTTGACTGCAGTAGTTACTCTGGGTTTATGTCAAAGTTGCTCGCAGCAGAATTTGGCTTATAAAAGTTAATATGGAGGGCTGCATAAATAATCGTTACTAAATAGCTCACTGTATGTCCGTGTGTGGAAAAGTTAGTGCCGAGTGCAAACAAAGTTAGCGGCTGTTAGGAAGGTGGTCTGTCCCGCCCTGTGGATGAATTAGCGCATATAGGACCAGATTCCATCCTTGCAGATGACAGCCGTAGTGGGGTCAGGATGAGGTTCCCGGGTCATTTAGTGAGTATTGGGTTTTCTGTTTTGGGAAATAATGTGTGACTGACAACTTTTTTTGGTCCGCGTAGTCCAGAAGCCCAAAATATGATGAGATGTGCTGCCAACAGCCCTGAGAAACAGAGCAGGCACGGCAGGATCCCATCCATAGGCAGAGATGTGCATTCAGGGTCTGTACTGGTCACTAGGTCCTGTGTACCGTAAATACTAATGGAAACGATTGTGAGCACCCTTTTTTTTTTTTCTCCACTCTCTTTTTTTCTAAGTCCATGAGGTTGTTGTCGCAAAGTTTCTTTTGTCAATCTTTGGTCATAGGTGTTTTGCCTCTGCTTTTCTGTAAGTGTTTGGTAAATAATACGTGATTGCAGTTCATCCAGCATGCTTCCCTGAGGTTTATTATCCTGATATTACTTGGGTTCACTTACTTGGAAGGGTGATCCCATCCCATTAATGCCACGTACTTTTTGTAACTGTGTAATGCCAAGAAACTGCTTGCTGATGATGCCTGTATGAACTGGCCCAGCAGTAAAAATGAAATTATCAAGGAAAAAACACGATTTGCATGTTCAGTCGCTGCACTGACCTCTTCTCATGTCATTATTGCTTCATGGAGGGGGGAGGGGAGAAAGTCTCTGGCATAAAATCTAGCTGAAATGGATCTCTGAGGTTTTTATGGCCAAGATGAATTCATAATGCAGCTGGTTGTACAGAGTTGACCTATGAATTTCACATCTCTTGAGTTTAGTTTTCATGTCAGAATTAAATAATGTAAAAAATGTATTAAAACTCTGCGTTTAGAAACCTTGCATTTCTAGATTGCAAAAAAAGGCTAGCTGATTAAGATGAAATAAAATATTCTGGATTTAATTTAAATTAACTTCTAGTCTTCCCATTCTAGCACTACGTGGCCATCTACACAAAAGGGCTTGCTAAAATATGCTTTCTTGGTAGAGACTCTGTAAATGTTCCGCTCATGAACCAGGGTGTTATACAAATAAACCTAACAAATAGCAATTGCATATTTCCGTTGCTAAACTACAGACAGAAGCACAGAGTGAGAATTTGAGATGGAACAGGTGTAGAAAGAGATAGTTTGGAAAATGCTGTTCTTCCTATGCAGAAGTAGAAAGCAGTGACCAAAGTCATTTTTCTGCGCTTGTATGCACCTGGTCCTAACAGCTTTAAAGTACACTCCATGGAGGTTATTATACTAAGGGACCCTTTAGATCAAGGTTTCTTTTAGTAGAAGCAGTGGCTGAATTACCCTGATAATTAAAATAGGTGTCTTATTTTTGCCTTTACCTTTTGTTTACCAGGAGTTTGAATGGACTGGGCAGTGTTGGTCAAAGACGGTAGATTACTTTAAATATATCTCAAGTAACAGTTTTGATTTGCTACTGAAGCTTTTTACAGTTATTACTGCTGAATAAATTGGCAGTATTTACATAGAGACTGGTTTTATATGGTGTATTTCTGAATACCATGGAGCGTGGAACATAATACAGCACTGAAGTTTGCTGGAAGTAAACGGTTGCTTTAAAACCATAACACAATTAATTAAAAATAGTGAAGTGAAGTTTGAATGAGTTTTAAGACCAGGCACATTCCAAGATAAATGATTAGTAGTCTGGGCCTGAAGCTATTATGGCTGAAATATTTACATAAGAAGTTTAGAAACCCACCTGGTAGGCAAACTTTCAAAGAGAGAAAAAGAAAAACAGATCTCCAAAACATCATTCTTTTAGTTTTCCTGTAGTAGTCTTCCTCCTTCAGAATTTGTGCCAGCACGCTTGACCTTCTGTGAGCCTCCTGATACCAAAGTGGCTTTCCTCTCAGATTGTTTCTTGGCACTAAGTGTTGTAGAGTAGCTTTTTTTTTAATTTTTTTTTTTTTTTTTTTGTAAAAACACAATCCTTCTCTGGCTGCTGTTCAGAGCACTTCAGTTATTACTGTGTCCCCCACAGTATGCTCTCAACCTGTGCTCCTGTCTTGTAGTCTGGCTCTCTGGTGTCTTTGGCTGGGACACATACCCGTTTCCCCTCAGCCCAT